CTGCGCAGTGTGTTGTTCCGCTTTAGATTGCAGTCCGAAGCAAGAACCTCTAAACAACATAGCTAGCGACGCAAAGCTTCGTGGAACTGAAGCCCGAGACGCGAAGCCCTAAATCCCAAACCCCCAAAGCCCTGAGACCCCCCCCATAAATCGTAGACCCTACCTGGACCCCCAAACAACTTACATGTTTAAGTAAGGACTTCTACAATTGAGGAAATCACAACAGGGAACTCTAAAAAGGAAGGTTTTTATAGGGTCCAGTTAAGCAAGAAGCTTAAGCCCCATGCCTGGGTGGCTCAATACCTGGGCCAAGGTTAGGCCTTGTCGGGCTTATAGGGTTTACGGGGTTTGTAGGGTTTTATAGGGTTTATAGATTTTAGGATTTGGGGTTGAGGGTTAAGGATTTGGCGTAATTTTTTTTTTGCCGGCTTCTTCCAAGTCGCTCCGTGAGCTGAGAGACTTTGTGGGAGTTTCCGAAAATGGGGGACCCAAACATAGTACCTTAAATAGTAGGATCCTTATTATAAGGACCCCCAAATAAGGTACCCCCTATTTTTGTCAGTTTTTTTGGGCACTACCCTTCTTTAGGGTTCCCCGAGTCGGGGTTTACCCCCCCCAAAATCCTACGAAATCCTAGTTTGACGAGTGAGGTCCCTGTAGTCCATGTGATACTTGGGAGTCCATATGCAAGTATACCGTATGCCACAATATACACCGACGCCGGATTTAAATCATCAACCTCAAACCCTAAAACCCTACAGATCCCTCAAAGGAGCCCCTTAAAGGTACCCTTATAGATCCCCCCAAGCCTTTTCCACAATATTGAGGCTATACTACAGCCCGACAAGCCATAAAACCCGCGTTGTGAATCATAGGAGGCCAAAAGGGGCTTTAGCCTATGGGGGTTTAGTAGGGATTGGGTTCCCACAGTAGGGTTCATATTAAGGAATCCCTACCCCAAGAATCTTGGCCTCCCATCGGTCAAGGAAGCACCAAGGGCTCTGAAGTGGCCTCAGAGCTGTAGGGAGTCCGTATCTGGGCCCGTTTCGGGCGGAAGGGTTCTGGAGATTTTACGGCGCTTTGGGATTCAGGGGCTTTAGGGTTTTAGGTGCGGGCTTTGGGATAGGCCGTTTACACCGGGTTCCTGATTTTCCAGCCAGTCGTGGCTGATGCATCAGGGTCCCGTTTCGGAATCCTCCTGAAGGCAAGTCCCCATGAAGACAGGTGTAGAATTGCGGATATGGAGGCTGCGCCACATCACAGCGTGGAAGATCCAACACCGCTTCCGGCGGTTTCTTCTCCACTTGGCCGCGCAGCGAGCGGTGAGAAACTTCGCGAAGGTCAAGAAGAAGGTGACTGTGCGCAGATCCAGGGGGCCGCTCGGTGCAGGTCACCCGCCTTTGTTGCCGGAGACGGTCGTGCCATCTCCGGCACTTTGGCCCGGCGCACGCGAACGTGAGCTCCCTGAGGAAATCTCAAAATCTAAGCCTTCTTCTGCAGTGGATTCGCGAGTTTCAGAACTCGTGTGATCCCAGTGTGGATGGGCCGTTGGGACCCCTCTACCCCCCAACACTTAAAGAGTCTGAATCCCGAAACTTTGAAGCCTCTACAACCCTTGAAACCCTGAACTCTAAAACCCGGAACCCAATGCCCTGGAGGTAGAGTTTAGGGTTGGGATGACTTCCCAAGCTGCGACATGGACGGCTCAGGGAAAGCGCACGGAGACCGTGGACGGCCACGGGCAAAGTCGTGGGAGGGGCATTGCTGTAAGCTTTAGGGCTTGAGGGTTTAGGGCTTGGGGTTTGGAGGGTATAAGGTTTTGGGTCAGGGCTTTGGCTTTTGGGTCTAGGCTCTAGTTTAGGGGTCGGAATGGGTGGCAATGTCTTGGCTGTAGGTAGGTTTACTGTCTCAGAGGTTTGTCTGCATTACGTATCATCACAGGCACATTCAAGCTTTCGCTGTCATCATCGCTGCCATCACTTGCAGCATCGTCGTCAATCGTGTCATCAATAAAACTACTATCGCACCGCTGCTTAATCCCCGCTTTTGCACAACGAATCGCTCACAAAGCATATACGTCTGCAGCAAATAAGAAAACAGAGAAGTAATCCAATCTTCAAGCCTCTCGTCAAGCCCTCTGCAATCCTGGAGCTCAACAGTTGTTGAGAGTTCTCGGTATGGGCCATTTCGGGTGACGAGCTTAGGGACCCATTTCCCGCAGCCCTAAATTCCTCGCATCCTGCTACATCCTAAACCCTAAAAACCCTCGATGGCAAGATAATTGCTGTGATGCAGCAGCTCCCTGGACATGAAGCGCCGCTCCTGCTTTGCAGCTGCTGCCCCGTAGCATGGGTGAGCATGCACCTGGCTTCAGGTCTAAACCCCAGACCCTGATTCCCAAACCTTGCTTTCGAAACTCCAAGTCCCTAAACCCGAAACCCTTCCTCCCAAACCCTCCAGTTCCTTGGCCCTAAACCCCAATCCCGAGAAGCCCGAAACCTAAACTGCGGACCCCGATTTCCTAAACCTCAAGTCCTGAGCCACCTTGGCCCACCTTAACCCGGAAGAACCTACCTTTTTAGGAACTTATATAACAAAATCATAATAAGGAACCCTAAAAAGGTAGGTTCTTCAGGGCCCGGGCATGGCCTAGGGTTTAGGGTTTTAGGATCCGGTTTAAGGCTTCGGGCCCCATCTCAGCAGGGAGCCGAAGGTTTTCATCCCCAAATCATACCGTAGCCTACCAAACCCTACTTTTTTGTAGGTTCTTACTATTAACCCTCACATGGAGTTTATAGGGCCCCACAAAAAAGTTAGGGTTTGGTAGGTTAAGGTAAACTGGCCCTAAACCCGAAGAGCAAGATGCGCAAGAAGCATTCTGCCTGGCGCCCGAAGGCCAGATTTTGCTCTAGTGTTGGGTTTTGGGAAGTACAGGGACTAGGGATTAGGGTCTTGTTGGGGATAGGGTTCAGGATCTTAGGGGGCGCGGGGTTAATTTCCAACAGTATTCTTGGGGTTCCTTACTAGCCCAAAACCCCATGCTTCTAATCATCAAGGCCCATACAGTGGCGTCTTGGAGTTTGGTTTTCACGGCGATTATTCCGGGTTTCAGTGTTTCCGGGGCTTAGGTCAGTCGCAGACCCTAAACCCTAAACCCTAAACCCTAAACCCTAAACCCTGAACCCTAAACCCTAAAGCCTAAACCCTAAACCCTAAACCCTAAACCCTAAACCCTAAACACTAAACCCACAATGCTTAACCCTCAGCCCTAAACTGCTGGCAGTTCCGAAGTTCTAGCATCTGTCTGCCTGTGAAGTGTTGTGGTGTGTACGACTTCGATTAAGGAGGTCTGTCATTTTAGCTGGGTTGTCCTTTGGGATCTTTTTTAATTTCTCCTACTATTTTGTAGAGAACCATAACAGTAAATAATTTTCAAGGGGCTTAAAGGACAACTCAGTTAGTTACTCAGACGGGGGTTCAGGGTGCACTGACCCACACCGAGAACTCAGGACTCGATCGGCGCGGCATTGGCAGACTCCGTAAGCCTAAACCACTCGCCAAACCCTAAATTCTGAGACCCTCGGTCTTGAAAAAGCAGGTGTGGCAAATCCGAATAGATGCCTTCAGCAATCCCCACAAAACCACAATGAAGCCACGAAAAGCCCCTGCGAATCTTTTTCAAACTAAACCCTAAGCCCTACCACACCCTAAGCCTTAAACCCTAAACCCTAAACTACCCTAAACCCTAAACCCTAAACCTTACTTAAACCTTAAACCCGAACCCTTCTTTTTCAAAGAGGTGTGGCGACCGAAAGAGTCTCGAGTTCGCTGGGGGCCTCTGGAGCTCCGGGAGGCGAGAGCGCCAGGCGCGGAGGGCGAGCAGAAATAGACTAAGGGGGTTCTGGGTTTAGGGTGTAGGGTTTAGGGTCTAGGGTTGAGGGTTTAGGGTTTAGGGTTTAGGGCTTAGGGCTTAGGGTTTAGGGCTTAGGGCTTAGGGTTTAGGGCTTAGGGTTTAGGGTTTAGGGCTTGGGGTTTAGGGCTTAGGGTTTCGGGTTGAGGGTTCAGGGTTCCCCGGGTTTGTGGGGGGCCTTTGTCGCCTGAGTCAGCCTTTGTCCATGTCCACCGAGTTTGCAAACCGGCGTGCTCAACCCTGAGCCCTGAAGCCTGAAGCCCAGAATTTTGCGAAGTAGTGGACAGTGGTTGAAACTTGAAGCCTAGACCGGCAGTGTTAGGACTTAGGGACGTAGGGGTTTAGGGTCAGGGCTCCGGGTTCCTGAAATTTCAAGCAGTAGACACATGAAGTTATGATGTGGTGAGTGACTCATAGTATCCTGAGTCTCAGAAAGCAAGCGGGCAGAGTACGGACCCTCAGCAGCAGGATTCGTCGATCGAACGGCTCACAAGCACCATCATTTCTGAATCCCTAAACCCTAAACCCTACACCAACCCGAAGCCCTAAACCAAGCCTAAAGCCTAAACCAGTTTCGGATCCCAAGCATCAGGCAGTGCATTCAGCTGTTGCATCAACTTCCGCGCAGCAGAATCGGCTCAAATACGGCGCTGCTTCCGACGGGCCACAGGCTGGATCCTAGGTAGTACTAGGGAGATCCCTTAAAGGGGACCCTTCTCAACCCCACTTCATTGAGAGGGTCTATGTCCCCAAGAGTCCCGCCAACCCCAAACCCTACTAAAATTGTGTCTTTGCCTTGCAGGGTCAGTATACGGGCGTCTGATTGTTTGCTGATAGTACTCGTTCGGGCCCAAAGCCTTATTCCAACTGGTAAGGCCCCCCTGTGTTGCGGATGTGATGTGTCACCGTGCAATCTAGATCTTGCTTATTGAAAGAGATCATGTGCCCAGGATGTACTGCGACATCTTTATAGCCGCGCAAGTAGATAGTACGATGGCTCCCCACAAGTTCCTCGTCTTTTTGGAGCTACTTGACTCATGTCTCTCAACCTTTCGAGCAAGATCCAATGGGACTCCAATGAGCGGGGTTTTTAACTTAGCGTCTGCGATGAGGAGTAAGGTTGGGCAGGCTAGGATTCAGATGTGGGGTTCAGGGTTCAGGACCCTAAACCCCTGAATCCTAAGCCCTAAACCCCTAAATCCTGAACCCTAAACCCCAAACCTTAAAACCTAAACCGCGAGACCCCTAGATCCTGAACCCTAAACCCTAAACCTTAAAAAATCTAAACCCTAAACCCCTAAACCCTGAACCCTAAACCCTAAACCTCAAAAACTTAACCCTAAACCTTTAAAACACCTAAACCCTAAACCCCTAAACCCCTAAACCTCAATCCTTCGCCAGGCCAAAGGCCCCGGCTCCGATGGTCAATGCCTCCCCTCGCGATTCGAGGGGCCTGCCGGCAAAACCGTAGGGCTTTTAGGGTTTAGGGTTTTGGGGGTTGTAGGGTTAGGGTCTGGGGTCTGGGTTAAGGGTTAAGGGTTAAGGGTCTAGGGTCTGGGTTTAGGGTCCAGGGTTTAGGGTTTAGGGTTCAGGGTCTAGGGTATAAGGTTTAGGCTTTAGGGTCTAGAGTTTAAGGTTTAGGGTAGAAAGAAGGTCCATGTTTGCATTATTATGGGTTTAGGTCCGCAAAGCAACGATAAGGACGCGATGGTAGTACATGTGGACGTGTCTCCGGGTTTGGTCGGAATACCTTGTGCCGGTATCCGCCTTGCAGTCCCCATACAATTGTACAATAAGTATGCAACCTATACCCCTTAACCCGTCTTCCCCATATTAGCTCTCGTAAAGCCCTCCCAAAACCCGTGTCTCATTGTGAAGGCTCCTGCAATCGGGTTCCTAAACCCTAAACCTTGGGCACGGCCCCCACTCAGCAATAGTTGAATAATATTCATAATATAGATATATTAGGACCTTAACAGTAGCCTTATTCTAAGACTACGGCAGCAGAGGAACCCGCTTTTCCCCAGTGCAACAGCGAAAACACGTGAGCCTTGAGTGCGAGCGAGGAGTGAAGCAATGCATCATATGCGCTGGCGGCCGAAACATCCTTCTCTTTCAGGAAAGACTACTGTGCAGGGCCCTACAGCGTTCTTCAGATTTACACTGCTTCAAAACAACTTTCCCTTCCTTTAAGGGGAGACTCAGTTGCCCGAAAAGAGGCCACCAGTCACTGGCCAATTTTGGCTTTGTGAGGACATCGGCTCGCTGAAGATGTGTCGGTACCCAAACAAGAGGGGCCCTGGCGTCCTCATGATCGGCGGTCTCCTCCATCAGCGTTTGTCTCAAACAGGCAATATCTATCGCCAGCCTTCGATCGGAAGGAGTTCGTGGTAGTCCATCACGGTGCATATGGTCGTAGAGGGACCGGCAGTCGGTCACTCCCACGATGGGGATGTCCTTCCCGGCGTTCCTGGTGATCTTCCCGGTGAGGAAGGAGTCGATCATCGCCCTCACGTACTGACCCAGTTCGAATCCCTCGATACATCCCATAGTCTCAGCACCGAAAGTAGATCTGCACACACGATCACACGCATGGGAGCGCCATTCCAAGATGCTCGCCGGGGCTCCCATAGAGTTGATCCCGTTCTTGCCGCAGACCATCACGAGCGCCCCTAGTTGCGAGGCCACACTAGAGTTCTTCTTCTTCGTCTTTCGGACCTTGTTCACCCAGGGTCCTTCGGTAATTAGTCCGTTCCTTTCGTCCTCCTCATTCAGGAAGTAGACGGGGTCCTCATTGGAGTCTGGAGCGTTGCTCCAGCCAGCGTCGTGGAACACGGCCACCACCATCTCGTCGAGGGGGATCTTCGCCAGCAGGATCCCCTCGTCCTTATGTAGTAGTGCTCGCTTCGCCATGGTGTTCGTAAAACGAATGTCCTCAACCGTAGGTCGTGCTTGTAGTTGTTGACACATGGAAACGCCGCAAGCCAAATCCGGCCGTGATTGTGACGCCAGCCAGGATAATGCTCCAACCAGTGAGCGGTTGTCTGCAACCTGTTCAGTGTCTGCCAGGGCATCAGCGGGGGCCTTGGGGTCCACGTAGATCTCGAAGAGGCGGTTGGTGGTATATGAGGATTGGGAGACGAAGATGCCATCATGTCGGGTCTCGATATGGGAACCGATGAAATCGAACACATCCTCTTCCCACTCGTCAACAGGAACATCTGGAAAGTTGCTCCTGAACAGAAGTACGGAGAGCACGGGGACCTGCAAGAAGAATGTCGTCCACATGAACGGCAGCATAGCAGAGCGGCTTTCCAGGCCCACGCTTCCCTTCATCGTCTAGCTCGACCAATTGAAACACGCAGGGATCAAGTGGTGACGCGAAGAACTTGCCCTTCTTGTTGTCGGGGAGGTCGATGGTCAACTCCTGGATGTCCTTCTTGAACTTTTTCCACCATTTCCGAGGGCTGTCGATCAACCCGAACACTCCCTTTTCTATCTTGATAAGTTGATCAGGATGCAGTCCAGGAAGTCCATGTTTGGGTTGACGCAGGTATAGTTCACGGTCGAGCTTCTCGCCGTTCAAGAAAGCTGCCGTCACATCTCCTGCTGCGATTCCCCAGTCCGCGTCCAGCCGTGAGGCAGCGATTTGTAGCAAAGTCATGACAGCCGTCCGCGAAACTGTGGGCGAGTCGGTGCGGAGAGCACCTGAGACGATGTCGGGGTCGGTATGTCCCGACACCACAAGCCGGGACTTGGCCTTCCACTCGACCGTAGGATCGGTCCGTCTCCGGGCGAGGTTCTTGTCCCGATACGCGAATCTCGAGGAAAGCACCCGTCCGGACTTGAGTTTCTCAGCGCTTTCTGCGAGGTCGAGAGGTCGGAGAGCTCCGAGTCGTAGATGTTCCTCCCATTGCTTGTGTTCTGCGTCGATGAAGAGCTGGCGCTTTGACTCTGGTATCATACTCCAAGGGATCTCCTTCTCCAACTGCTTGTCGCGACCTCGCTTCGTGGTAGCCCTTTTTAGCATGTGGGCCTCATTGGGGTCCTTCTTGTCCTTGGCGGCGTCGTAGGGCTCCGGCCTCTTCGAGGAGAACCTCCTGCGGACGGCGCGGGATGGTTGGTCAGGAAGGGGGACGCCAGGGTCCTCCTCCAGTAGGTCTCCGTTGTCGAGCTCCATGTCTCCAGTTCCATCCACTTCACTTTCTGCTTCCACTTCCGAAAGATCCATCATCGCATCGAAGAGGTCCTTGTCCCCGATCTCGGCGTCGTCCTCTCCCGGGAAAACGGCGGAATCGTCGTAGTTTCTCTCGACCAAGCGAAGCAGATCGTCCTTGGTGGCGCGAAGGGCGTAGAGTCCTCCGAGCTCCTCAGGGAGTGCCTTGCGAAGGTGCTCCGGCGCGCAGAGATAGCAACGTCCACTGTGTGACACCCAGTAGTTGCCGTCTTGTTGTCCTATCACGGTTCCAGGTCCCTTCCAGGAGCCAGTCTTCTTGTTCGCGGGCTTCCTCCAGAAAAGCACCATCGCGCCGTTGTCGAGGTCCCTTGGTTTCACACGGGCTCGCTGTGACATCCCTCTTCTGATCTTGTCCTCGGTGCGCGACCGGAAGAAGGAGAGCTTCGCGGCATTCCTGATGGTGGCCCGGCGTTGTTGAGCAGAGTCTGGTGTCCTGAGCAGTTCGCCGCCCCCTTCTTCGACTTCGAACTCAAGGTCGTCGTCTCCACGAGGATTCTTGCCGAAGACGATCTGGCAGGGTGCCCATCCGCAACGGCGACGTAGCTCGTTCTTGGCTGAGGACGTGGCAGCGATGGCTTCCTCAACTTCATCTCCACGTACCGTCTGGTCTTGGACGACTCTGGCAAAAATCTCTTTCCACCATTTACCGTGCCTTTCTGTAAAACCGGACTGCCAATGGGCCTGTCCCGCGCTGGTGCGGAGGTCGATGTGGAACCAATCGGCAAGGCGTCCAAAAGCATCCTGGATGCCCCGTTCCAGGTCCAGGGTGATCACCTTGGGAGCTCCAAACACTTGGACCCAATGCTTCACGAAGGCTTTCTCGAGGACGGCCCCGGTCTGGCGGGGCACTTGTACCACGACCTGGTAGGAAGAGGCGTGGTCGACGATGGAGAACAACTTGATTTTCTTCCCGTCGATGTCGTAGTCATACATCATGTCGACCCCGACCACGTCGCCGAATTCCAGGAGCCTGGGTTCTGCCGCCGGCCGGGCACTCTTTGGACCCTTCGTTCTCGCACAAGTCGAACAGGACAAGCTTTTGGCTGCTTTGATCACCTCCTTGTCAGCTCCGGCAAGATGTAGATGACGAACCAAATCTTCCCGGGCAGGGTGCCCGAGATTCTGGTGTAGTCGACGGAGAGCGGCAGCAACGTCCTTCGGAACTTTCTTATCGAAAGTTATTCCAGCCGCTCCTTCCCGAAATGGTAGTTCTTCACGTTCTCCTTGTGCCTCTCCCTCGGCCATGTGATTCATGGAGACGCCCGTGGAGGTTGCCTTGTAGCATTGCTGGTTGTCGATGACGACGGTGTCCACAGGACAAAAAGCCGTAAGTTGTCGAAGAACTCGCTGTCGGATTCCTTCAGGAAGTAGATCTGTAGGTACCACCACGGAACCATAGCGTTGTACTTGCCATCGACCACAAACATCCACAATCTCAAAGAACTTGGCCTCGTCGAAGGACTGGTCATGCATGGCCGGGTTGATCCATAACATCGAGGGTTGAGATTGTTTGAGCATCTTGATCACGAAGTCACCGGAGTCGTGGGGGGGGATGTCCTCCCAGAGAACTGGTTCTGCCGCAAAACATCCGAAATCCGTAGTGGCCTGCAAGGTTTGCTCGATCCCGCCGATCTCCAGAAGGGCCACCGCCGGAGTCGTAGGCTCTGGTCCCGAAGTCGGAAAGGCCGATGTGCAAGCCAAAGACAGAGACGAGAGGGACCAAGTTAGGAAGGCGCTTGCACGAGAGGCGTTCCTCCAAAGACTTTTCCGCATGCTCCTCTTGGGGCGAGAAGAAGTGGAAGAGGAAGTCGTAGGTTGTAGTGCATCCTTGCCCTCGTCTTGAAAGGACACGGTGGCCTTGGTAGCCTGGAGGTCAACGATCATCTTCCGATCACGAGAGAGATGCCGTAGGTCGTGTAGAGGAAAACCCCATTGTCGTAGCTGCCGTCGTTCCCCTTGGGTGCTCCCTGCGAAACCTCGAGTGGAAAATGCCGTCACCGACCATCGATTCCCTTCTGTCCAATCTTGGGCCGAATGAAGGCGTTCTGGTGCGAAGGAGATCACTTTGTCGTACGCGCTCTGCACTTTGCCCTTGATCTCGCGGTCTTTGGGGTCCAACATGACATCATTTCCCTTCACGTGTCCGTTCTCCTGCCAAAGACCCCCTCCACACGCGAACTTGCCGCCGCAAGTGATGTAGTTGAGCGTCCCCTTGAGGTTGTTGAAGTCGGCATGTACATGGGGAGTGCAGTTGAACGCGATCGAGAAAGAGGACCACCTGGCATCGGGTTGTCTCGTGAGGAAGTAGTCCTTGAGGTACAGGCACAGGGAGGCATACTTTGACGTGTTGGCACAGATCCCTCGCATGTTCCCGTAGGTGTAGTATCCGAGGGACAATCTGGAGCTGCCAGTGTCATTCTCCCCCATAGCCTTTCTTCTGGCACGTGCTCCCCGATGAGGAAAGCTTTCACCTTCCTTGCCGAACGTGGCCTCCAGGATTGTGGTAAGGGTGGTTGCTGAGAAATCCTGCTTGGTGATGGCCTCGGAATCATCTTCTCGACATTCTCAGAGAGGAGTACGTAGGCGTTCTGGTCCTCGCCGATGAGGTCGTCCCACACCTCCTCGTCATTCTCGTCGTCCACGTGGTAGGCAAACATCGCGCCCTCGGAGCCCTCAGTCACCTCGCCCTCGTCCAGCTCCTTCTCACCCTCAGTGATCCCGTGGTTCACTGGGGCCCGACCTGGTCCTTGAGCACAGCTAGGCGCTGCTCCAGCGCTTGAATCTCCTCCAAGACCTGCGCCGGTGGGTCCACATGCATCCTCTCCTTGGTGACGTCCTTCTCCGCGTTGCGCTTTGCCGGGGATGCCTTTGCCGGTGTCTGGGACGCCGAGCTCGCAGGGGTCAGAGGCCTCTGGTCCTGGTCCGCGTAGCTCATCGCCGACACCTCCTCCCAAGACCGGGAAGACGTTGATCCTGGGTACGGGATCTTCGCGTAGCGCTCGGGTTCCTCCATCATCTCCCGGCGTGTCGGTCCTGTCTTCGTCTCCTTTTCCTCCGTCTTCCTGCGGAACCAGAGGACGAAACGCTTGAGGTCCACGCTCATATTGATCCCGTTCTCGCGTTCCTCGCGGGAGGCCCATTCCCCGTACTGGCGTGGTATCTGGTAGTACGCACTCCCTTTGTAGCGGCCGATCTGCATGATGGTGTTGTCCGGCGTCTCGTGGTAGTCCCTGATATGGCGCATGAGTGTTCCCCTCGTCACCTTGGAGTCGTAGGTCACTCCGATGCGGTCCGCTTCCATCTTCAGGTCGGCGAGCTTCATCCCCGACATTCCTTTTGGCACTCCCTTCTCCTCCTTGTCGATCGCGAGGCACTCGGTGATCGCGCTCCGCAGCTCCTCCACTGTCCACGAGGTCATTGGGTTCAGGTTGAGGCGGGTCGCTTCGGCTAGGAGCTGGGCTTTCGTCATTTGCCATATTGGGCGCGACGACATTACCAGAGAGGCCGGGAGGATTTCGAATTGGGGCAATCGGTCTACGATTGAACACTGATCGGCCAATCCACAGGCACTGGTGACAGCTCTTTGCATCGGCAGGTACCGTGTTCCAGAAATCAACTGCAAGAGGTAGACCGCGCTGGGATCGACAGCTGACACTGAAAGTTTCTCTCACACTACCAAGTACCTTCAGGAGATTGTCTCGTAGTAGGGATTGTTGTGTATTCCAGTTCACCGGACTGAACAACGATTTTCGAGGGGTAACGTGAATGCGAATCAGAGAGCACCGAGTCTCTATCCAGAAGTCTGAAGAAATACGTGTTTGATTCCACCACTTCACGAAGTTCTCTACAGACAAGGTCTCACTGATGAGAAGGTTCTTGACTTCGGGGGGGATCTTCTTGGCATAAAATATCTGAGGAAATTGTTCTTGAGGAGGTCGACTTTCATGGAGTGCGTTAGCTGTTACAAAGACTTCACAATGTCCCACTCCCCCACTGCAATCCGCCATGTATGCTGCCGAGCCAAGAAGGATCTGTACTTCGCCGCGGACGCACTTGTTGGCGTCCCACATCTTCGGCTGTGCAATAGCCGGGATGCCCTGCCCTCCAGGATGAACGCTTATAGCCGGATGTCCTGTGGGAGTCGAGAGCAAAGGGTAGCCGCATACACTCACAGCCTCAAAGTCCGCCTTGTGTTCCTTAAGGTTGTAGACCATTCCTAGCTCAGCCAAAACGGAACGGCTCAGAAGAAGAGGAAGATCACCATGAATGATTGCCACCTTCACGAGAACCCAAGCGGAGCCAACCTTGAACGAAACCACAATGGCATAGTTGGAGGAGTAGATTCTCGAAGCCCCGAACCTGAAGTTATCGGACTCTCCCAGCAGCGGTACCTCAATGTTGAAAGCCTTGAGCACTTCCACATATCGCTGTAACCACGAAGTCCCTGCAACTGATTTAGTACAGGCGCTGTCGGTGATCGCCAGGAGGTTCTCGCTCAGCGGCCCGCTCGTCATGAAGACCTCGTTGGAGACGTTGGCGGTTTGGGTTTTACCAGGGTCGAGGTTTCCTTTAGGCTTGCCGTTGGGAGGTCCAGGGCATTCGGGATCTTTGTACCAGTGGCCGCGCTGCTTGCAGACACTGCAAAAGGAGCGCTGTTTAGCGCTCAAGATCTTGTTCTCGATGGCCTTCTTCACTTCGTCCGGCTCGAGGTTTCGCCCCTTCACCGCGTCGCGGTACTGAGCCTTCGCCGTCATGAACGCCTCGTAGAGCTCCGCCTCCTCCGGGTTCCGGGGGTCGTCGTCCTCAGAGCCCTCGTCAACGAGCTCCGTCTCCTCCGGGATGGGCTCTGCATTGTTCGCCGAGTTCACCTTCAAGCCATTCTTGGCACGATCCCAAGGCTTCAAAAAAACCTTGTCCCAAGGACGCCGGAGACTCTTCTCGTGGAGTACCGCCGCTCTCTGGAGTTTTGTGCACACGAACTCATTGTTCACGCTCCCGAGGATCGCCAGCTCTTCGGTGTGAGATAAAGAGAGTGCACTCAGATAGGCCCAGGCGCGAGCAGTCTCAGGAAGCTTGCACTCGATCTCCACCAGCCTTGCATATGCCCTGTCGAAGGTGGCGTTGAACTCCCTGACAGACTGACTTGGACCGCGACGAAGCTTCTTGAAGAAACCGTTGAGGGCCTCCGCAATCTTGCCGACCTCGATCTCTTGATAGCGCTCAGCGATCCAGGCCTTGAAGCGCTCCACCCCGTCTGGCACGCAGAGCTCGGCAACCTCCAGCTCCTCGGCCTCGCTCCTGTTGTGCACAGGGTGTTCTGGTAACACGAACCCAAGCTTCGATCTGCCTGATGTAGCTCCGCGCAGACTGGCCGAGCTCGTCGCCGCTGTTCTCAGCAGAGAAAGAGGGCACCGACATTCGTTCGCTCAGGGCGCCACGGCGCTCCCCATCATCAGAAGGAGCACGAGACTGATTTCCATCGGAAGGCGGTTGGCGAGACTGCCATGCCTCCCCAGGAATGGCGTTGCGACTCCATTCGGCTTCCCATGGGCCATTCGAGGTGTTTGCCGAGGAAGTACGGGTCCATTCAGTCTCCCAGGGGCTGTTCGAAGTATTCGTCGAGCTCGAGTGGTTCCATTCCGCCTCCCAGGGATTGCCGGAGGCATTTGCTGAAGTTGAGCGAGTCCACGAAGTTTCCCAGCCACCACCATCACCGGGAGACTGCGTGTTGTTCCCGGACCAGGCATGTCCATGGTGATAACCAGAATTCCATCCCGAAGACCAAGTAGTCGCCCACGCCGGCTGTCCTGACCAGTTGTCGCGCCAAACATGCTTCGTAGGGTCGTAGGCTTGCCACTGGGGATCCCCAGTCCACTCGCGCTTCTCCTCCGGTTGTCCGTCGGAGGATGGGGGCTCATCGTAGTCACCGTCCCTGCCATCCGCAGGGTTCCCCTTCGCATTCAGGGCATCGTCGCCCGAATGCTTCCCTTTTCGCCAAGCACGGCGGGTTCCACTGCCGTCATCACCGTGTCCATCGGGAGAATCGACTCCGCCAGGAGGATGAGCAGCCCGGGCGGCATCAGCCCAGGGGTCTAGCGGCGCGGCCGCGCCATCACCTTCACAAAGTCCGTCGTCAGGCGAGGAAGACATCAAGGAGCCCTAAGGGCTCCGCTACCAATCTAAGACTACGGCAGCAGAGGAACCCGCTTTTCCCCAGTGCAACAGCGAAAACACGTGAGCCTTGAGTGCGAGCGAGGAGTGAAGCAATGCATCATATGCGCTGGCGGCCGAAACATCCTTCTCTTTCAGGAAAGACTACTGTGCAGGGCCCTACAGCGTTCTTCAGATTTACACTTATTATACTAGGATGCCCAGTAGTACCCTTATTGCCTTTTTGTAGTCCTAGGATCCTTATAAAGTTACCCAATACCAAGAAGAGAGGCCTTTTTATTCTTAGGTTACTGGGTATCCTAGTTAAATCCCGAAACCCTTATAGAACCCTTAAGAAGAACCCTTATAGATCCTACTGTTGATGGACAGGAATCTTGCATTACTCTTTATAAGGAGTTATAGACTCTTACTGTAAGGGGGCAGTACCCAGTACCTAACCTAAACCCAAGTACCGGATTTCGTCTCGGGGTTCGGTTGGGGTTTTTGGGTTCAGGGTCTTGAGCGGGCCAGTGGAGTACAGGGCTTAGGGCTTGGGGTTTAGGCTTTTCTAGGGGTTTTAGATGCTTGGTGTATGGATTTGAGCGATTCACACACACCCTAAACCATAAACCCTAAACCCTAACCCACTAAACCCTAAACCTAAAATTTAGGTTTAGGGCTTCGGCAACCCGGAAGCGTAAACCGCAAGAATTTGGGAATTTTCAAGTCGCCTTGTGCGGCCCGTGAGGGTCTGGCTGTTGGGGCCTTTGGCCCCACTATAGATCCCTTATAGACCCCTTTACGGATCCCTTTAAAGGAACCGTATTTTAATTGTTAAGGTGTCCCGTTAGGGTCTAGAGTTCAGGGTTGAGGGTTTTGGGTTTAGGGAGTTAAGGGAATTGGGGAATTGGGGTGGAGCTTCAGGGAGTGAGGGTTTGGATGTTGGGGCCTGTTGGTGGTTCAAAGGGGTCTCAGGAGGCCTCAAAAAGGTGTTGGGATACTCCCAAATAAGAGTCCTTATAAAAGGGATCCTTAATCCTACCTACCCTAAACCCTAAACCCTAAACCCTGAACCTTAAACCCTAAACCCCTAAACCCTAAACCCTAAACCCTAAACCCTAAACCCCTAAACCCTAAACCCTAATGAGGCCTCCGATATCTTCTGCAACTGATCATCTTGGGTCTGGCTGTGGTGGGCTTTTACAGAGCCTACAGCTCCTCGGGCACTGGGTAAAAAGGGCACCAAAGGCCAGCTTCCAAAAATTAGGGTCATTAGAATAAGGATCCTGCTATTTAGGGTGCTATATTAGGATCCCTATTTTCGGAAACTCCCAAATACACACACTGCTTACCGGTTCCGTGGGTTTTGGGTTCGAGGGTCGGGCTTGTAGGTTGTGTGGCAATCTAGGGTTTTGTTGGCAAGGATTCGGGTTCTATTCGGGGTTGGCTGTATAGTTGTGGGATGCGGTATAGGGTAAGACCCCTGGGATGTCCCGGCTTTGTTCAAGGTGTGCAAGTTTTCAGACGTGAGTCATCTCGCCTAATGCCTTCGTTGGTCAAGTGCAGGTTTCAGAGGCTAAACCCTAAACCCCTAAACCCTAAACCCTAAACCCTAAACCCCTAGACCCTAAACCCTAAACCCTAAACCCCAACCACCTGGAAATCTCAAGTAGCAGCAGAAGTCTACACCCTGACCTCTAAAGCCTCGACCCGAAGCCATCGCCCCTAAACCCCAAAAGCCTTTGACTCCGAAGCACTCGTGCTGCAGCAAACTCCCTCCCGTAAGCCGTAAGCCCTAGAGGTCCCGTGAAGCAAGCCTCACCACCCCGGCACATGGAGATCATAAACTTCAATCCGAAACCCCTTAGCCCCGAGATCTCTCTCAACCATGCATCAATGCCTCTCTTTTCTAAGTCTGTTCCCTGTAGATCCCGTATACATCCCTATAGATGCCTCATAAATCCTTCTAGGTTTTAGAACCCGACTGAATCCCTAGAGATCCCTTCTCAATGGCGCCACATCTCAGATTACTCTGGGCTGGGCAATCAGCTGAAGGATGTCGCGGCCTGGCGACACCGGAAAGATTTTTTGATTGGTTTCCAAGAAATATGAGAGTCTCCGAAAATAGGGGACCTTAATATAATACCCCTAAGTAGTAGGATCCTTATTATAAGGACCCCAAGGTAAGGTACCCAAAAAAATTCGGAAACTCCCATTATCTTTTTTTAGGGCTCCTTGAAGGGATCTATTTGGATACTGCCCCCTGGGGGAGTATCCAAGACCTATTAGTGTTGCTGCCAGGGCTCCTTTAAGCCGCTTACCGCTGCTTAAACTACGTAGGAGAAGAGAATTCGAAATTCTGTGGGGGTCTTCCATGTCCTTTTTGGGTAACGTTCGCGTTCGATGACTACTGTAGTATTGACTCTAGTGCACGCAAACAGAAGGGATCTTACCGGGGTATAATCCGGGTGCTCATTAGGAGGATGCCAGAAACCATACTCAAAAGCTCCCTGTCTTTGTGTAACCTGGGGCTTTTCCATTACAGTCTCTAGGATGCCCAGTAGTACCCTTATTCCCTTTTTGTAGTCCTAGGTTCCTTATAAAGTTACCCAATACCAAAAAGAGAGGCCTTTTTATTCTTAGGCTACTGGGTATCCTAGTCCCGGAAGGCTTAAGGCGGCAACTCTCCACCCAAGTTCTCCAGAAATGCTTTACAGTTACTGGCTGATACTACGTTCTCAATATGGGTGGTTGTCAAAACTATGGTCCCTTTTTGGTTCCCTAATATAGTACGGCACCTAATATTTAGGGTACCCCAAAAGGGGGGCCCTAATTTTGACAACTACCCATATAGTACCCTTTTTGAAACCCTATAGAAACCCTAGAGGACCCCTTTAAGGACCCCTGAAAATCCAAAGGCCCCCCTGATAGGTTCTCAATATAGTCAGGATACGCGAGATTCGGGCCTCGCACGGATTAGAACGCCCTTACCCTGTAGTTTGGGAGCCTCGAGTACTGCGGATGGACAAAATCCTGCACTACCCTTTATAAGGAATATACCATAGTTCCCATAGTTTAAAGTCCTTAGGGTCATGCAGGATTTTGTCCATCAGCAGTATGTCCAAGATTTCAGCGAGATGCGGGGCTCAGCATGTTGGCGAGTGTTGGAGTGGCTTTCCTGTTGAGAGGGTACAAATAGTCAAAGGGTTGAGCATAAGTAGCACGCATAAACAAGAAGTCCTATCTAAATCCTAGACCCTGAAAAATAGTTCAATGGACGTAGGAATTGTTCCTTACATGAATGAAGGGATGAAGAGTATTGGGGTCTTCACCCTCGAGGTGAAGTCTGCCATCCAGTACATCGAAGCTTCAGAGTATGCCATGTCGGTCTACATGGTGGCTCACGGTTTAGGATAGAAGTGAGGGTTTCAGGATTTACAGTTCAGGGTATAGGATTTAGAGGAGTAGTTCAGGGATTAGTAATTCATGTTTCGGAGCTGGACGCACGGTCGGGTTTCGACAAGCTTCATCCTCGCCGTGCAGAGGCCAAAGGCGACAGTTGAATGTGGAGTTTCGGTTTGCAGAGGCCCAGAAACCCTCAAGCCTAAACCCTGGATTAAAGGGTCTTTGCCGTTGATGGTTTCTGACCCATCAAAGAACAGAGGCCAAAGCGCCAAGGAGGTACGTGGGTTCCGCAGAGTCCACCTGACCTTGCCAGAAGCGTAGTCGTAGATGTCGGAAAGGTCAAGAGGTCGTAGTAGTTTCCTAGTGAGATTCCCATACTGTCATACTATACAGAGTATAATTCTGTTCTAATTGTGCAGGCACCGTTTTCGAGGTCTTGCTGAACCTTACACCCAAACCCTAAGCCACCCAAACCCCTTAGAGCCCTAAACCCTGAAACACCTGAGCTCTTCTATCTGCACGTTGCCCAGAACTCCTGCGGTCCCTGCAACCCAAGTAACATGGGGACCTTAAGAATTGGATTGGAATGAGGTTTTGGGAGGCCTACCATGCTGGAGTACATCATAATCTCTCGTTTCCATAACAAGGGCCGTAAGGAATGGTATTGCTAATTGTTCTGAATCCCTAAACCCTAAACCCTAAACCCTAAACCCTCAACCCTAAACCCTAAAACCTATTGCAGGTCTTCACCGTCTTCGGTGTCATCGCCTTGGTGCCGACTACTGCCATGGAATTCTCTGGCGGCTCCTCTGCCGAAGCATGAAGCGAGATGCCTTAAGTTCATGCAGATTTTGTCCATCAGCAGTATGGTAACTAGGATGCCCAGTAGTACCCTTATTCCCTTCTTGTAGTCCTAGGTTCCTTATAAAGTTACCCAATACCAAAAAGAGAGGCCTTTTTATTCTTAGGTTACCGGGTATCCTAGATAAGGAATATACCATAGTTCCCATAGTTTAGAGTCCTTAGGGTCATGCAGATTTTGTCCATCAGCAGTATCTAGGATGCCCAGTAGTACCCTTATTCCCTTCTTGTAGTCCTAGGTTCCTTATAAAGTTACCCAATACCAAAAAGAGAGGCCTTTTTATTCTTAGGCTACTGGGCATCTAAACCCTAACCCCTGAACCCCTAAACCCCTAAACCCCTAAACCCTAAACCCCTAACCCCTAAACCCTTAGGCTACTGGGGTATCCTAGGGGTGGAGCCTTGAGGGTTCGGGGTTCTGCAGGGCCTCAGGGCAGGGTCCTGGGTCCAGGAGACTCTCAGCCTGCCCATCCCAAAAAGGAACTACTATGGGGCCTCTGGGTAGACACGAAACAGGAGCTTCCGAAAATAGGGGACATTAACATAGTACCCTAAAGAGTAGATCCTAGGCACTTCCGAAAATGGGGGACATTGATATAGTACCCTAAAGAGTAGGATCCTAGGAGTTCCCGAGAATAGGGGACATTAATATAGTACCCTTAAGAGTAGGATCCTTATTATAAGGAATTCAATTAACCACCCCCCCCCCCCCCCCCCGCCCCCAATTTTCGGAAACTGCGAAATCCCTAAGCCCGGCACCATTCCTCTCTGGCCGAGGATTCCTCTTTGTACCAGCCTACGGATTGCTGGGCACCTTGCTGCTGACTTGCGCCCCTGGGCTTAGGGTTTTGGGTTTTTTGGGGTCTTAGGGTTTTAGCGTTTTAGGGTCTTAGGGTTGTAGGGTTCAGGGTTTAGCGTTTTCGGGTTTAGGGTTTGAGGGTTTAGGGGCTCATAAGCCTCGCTTCGATGCTGCCAATACCCGGCAGAGTCACTGGTTTTCATTCATTGGATGTCATCACTGTGTTGGTAAGGATCTCGTGATCCGGGATCAGAATCCTCAGAGATCCATAAGGGCCGCGATCGAAAGCACTGTGCCGCAGACTGCCGGCCTCCTGAGAATAGCCCACGGCCTGAGTCTCCTAAACCTATGGGAGAAGCCCAAAAGTTGGAAACCCAATAGCCTCAATCCATAAGATTAATGTATAGGGAATCCCAGCACTATTTGGCCTTAATTCGGTTTCCAACTTTATGGAGTATACTGTACACCGGTAGACTCCTCAGCGCTTAGCCCCGAAACCACGAGCTCCAACGCCCTGCTAGAAGTTCGACACCTCTGAGGCTGCCAAGTTCGTGGCGAATGTGATCGCCGTAACATTGGCCAAGTATGTGATGCGCGACTGGGTGCGGCGGAACTTTGTGGCCACTTTGCCGGGTTTCGTGGACGTGTTGGACTATTTCACAGTTGTCTGCAGCGCTATGGAGGTTTTTCTTGCAACTCTTTACTGTTTTCATGTTTGCTGTCCAGATCCTAGCCCCCCAAGCGCAAAGCTAAGACCAATAAGTTCAACCTGGATACCACTAATTTTACAAATTCAAGATTTTCGGTTTCCGTAGCTCGCAACATTCAGAACACGGAATCCTAAAACCTCGATGCTTGAAACCGCAAGCTCCTTCAAGCATGAGCCCTGGAAGCCCTCAACGTCTGAAAGGTGACGGGCCGCCCTAAATCTCAAAGCCCTCAAGCCCTAAACCCGAGCCTACGCCGTTTCAGGATCGATCTGAATTACTTCAAATGGTGTCAGAGGCAGCCAAGGACCGATAGAGAGCTTGTGTTATCTCAGGGGCAGCGAATCTTTTATCACTTTTTGGGGTTATATCAAAGCCTTCCATGACAAAAGAGGTTCACCTTGTTTGGGACCTGAACAGTATTGCAGCATGCGTAGCAACGCCACTTTGGCGGTCCCTATGTGGTCACACGTTGATAATGTACCGGAGAGTTTTCGGAAGCCAGGATTATGTGGAATGGGCTCGTAACCCATGCCTGCCAGCAAAAGTCAAGACAGTGCTAGCGGTTTCGGGAAGACAGGATTATGGGGAAGGAAGAATGCGCTCTGAACCCAAGCCTGCCAGCAAACGTCAAGAAAGTGCAGATATGCATGAGAATGATATTCAGGAGCCATGTAGAGAAACGATATTCAAGATACAGATATGTACGGTCGCCCTGGTATAGACTGTTACTGTATGGGGGCAGTACCTAACCTAATCCCTGAACCCTCAACCCCTAGCCGTCGAGAGCTGAGGGGCTGAGCCCTTCAAGTTTCATGTTCCCTCGGCCCTCCACCGCCTAAAGTCTAAACCCTGATCCCTTAAACCCCAAACCCTAAACCGAGAGGATGAACCCTTCAAAATGGCCTTCTTGGTCCGGGGCTCCTACGTGCCTTGGCCTGCCGTTTTGTAGGGTTTCTCGAACCTTCCCAAGACCTCTCCACCCTGAACGGTCATCCCGAATACTCCTTCACCGGGCCCTTCTACCGGCATCCTGAAAAATCCAGGCTGAACCCTAATGCCTTGACTCCTTACACCCAAGAATTGACACCTCTCCCCCTGGAACCACAACCTGAAGTTGACATCACCACGTACCGAAAGGGAGCCCTACATCCTACTCTCCGACTCCCACCAGGCTTAACTTACATTTAGAAGTACTCCGAACGATCTAGCTATGCTTTATAGTACCTTTCCCTTCTGGAGACTGTAAAATCGTTGCGAGAAGCGGGTAAGACTTGAAAGAGGCGGGCATTTTACCTTTTGGGGTGCTAGGTCGGTGGAACCTACCCTAAACCCGAAAACTTAAATTGTTAACTTCCGAAGCCCCTTACCCCCAAATTACTAAACTCTAAACATTCGACCCCACCTTAAACCCGAACACCCCTAGTTATTGAGCCCTAAACCCTCGACCCCCCTGTAAACCCTAAACAGTCCATATGGGTGGTTGTCAAAATTATAGTCCCTTTGTGGATCCTGATTATACTACGGCGCCGAATATTTAGGGTACCCAAAAAGGACCCAAATTTTGACAACTACCCATATAGCTTGGAAGGGGCCCCCACCCTGTAATTGTGGTATCATAGGAATATAATAGGGCCCTAATATAATCCTTATAGTCACTATTACAGGGTGGGGGCAGCTTCTAACGTAAAGCGGTTTAGGTGTTACACTACCCATATAGTACCCTTATAGAAACCCCATAGAAACTCTAGAGGATCCCTTTAAGGACCCCTAAAAAAACCAGAGGCCTTGGATCCATGTAGCCCTTAAGGCGCCTCTGAGCGTCAAGAACTATGGCCTGGGGGTGCTGGACATCGGCTACCTCCCGATCATGGTGATTTGGGCTTTGGATTTGGGGGTTTAGGGTTCAGGGTGCAGGGTTTAGGGTTTGGGGTTCAGGGTGTAGGGTTTAGGGGGCAGGGTTTCAGGGTGTAGGGTTTGGGTTTGGATTTGGGGGTTTAGGGTTTCACCGAGCGGCTCGCTTTGCGGTTCAGGGATTAAGGTTTGGGGTTTGGGGTTTGGGTTTAGGGTTCAGGGTTTAGGTTCAGGGTTTAGGGTTCAGGGTTTGGGGTTGAGGGTTTGGGCGTTTTGACTTGAGGCTCTACTACGCAATGCGTAGGGTGCAGGGTTGCAGGGTGTAGGGTTTAGTGGTTATAGGCTTCAGCTGCAAGTTGGCTTGTGAGGTATACATTCCTTCATTCATGGTGATTTGGTTCAAGGATTTGGGGTTGTTTCGGGTGTAGGACCTTGGGTTTAATATACGAGTCGGAGTAATTAGCAAATGTACACCATTCCCAGGCCCCCGGAAAATCCAAAAAGTAGATCCCTTAATTGGGGGGTTGCTATAAAGTACCCTTAACAGTATAGGGCCCCAAGTTAGGGGATCTACTTTCTAGCTCCTCCCGAAAATCTGGGTTGTAGCTGCTATCTATACAGTAAAAGCCCAAAAGTTGGAAACCCAATAGCCTCAATCCCTAAGAGTAATGTAAAGGGAATCCCAGCACAATTTGGCCTTAACCCGGTTTCCAACATTATGGGGTCTACTGTAGTCTTACTACATGCACCCCAGATTCTACATATCTGGAGATCTGAATGGTTTAGGGTTTTAGGGTTTAGTGGTCTGGGTTTAGGGTTTTAGGCTTAGGGTTTGGGGGTTTAGGGTTTTAGGGTTTAGGGTTTAGGGTTTAGGAGTTCGAGTTCAGGGCTCAGGGTTTTACGGGATCTTGGCCTCATGCCCGAAATGCCCAAAGCCCAAGAAGTTCCTAACAAACTTGTCCCAGACCCTCTGAAACCCAAGCTACCCGTTTGCACTGATAGTAAACTCCAAAAAGTTGGAAGCCGGATTAAGGACGACTAGTGCTGGGATTTCCTGGACATTACTCTTAAGGATTGAGGCTATTGGGTTTCCAAGTTTTGGGCTTCTACCATAGACCCTTTCAGCGCCCTATAAAACTGAGCTTTGGTTGGAGTATGTACCATACCAAAATACTTTTTCTTAAGGGAACCATTATGAAATGCAAGTTTATACTTTTTCCCTTGTTACTTAAAAGCCCAGTAAAAGGATCACCGAACCCTGAACCCTTATCCTCCGCCCGGCAAAAATCTGCGAAACCTCGTGCAAGAGCGGTCAGAATAATTGGCAATGTTAGTGGTATTCCGGTATGAGAGTTTTCGAAAATTGGGGGTACCTTATTCTGGGGTCCTTGTTAGTGTCCCCCGTTTTCGGACACTCCCGTAGAGGAACTACATGTCTGTTCTATGCTGGATACTGCCCCCACTCAGTAACAGTTGGATAATATTCATAATATAGATATGTTAGGCCCTTAGTACTAGCCCTATTATAGACTGTTACTGTATGGGGCAGTATCCAAGTTCTATGCTATACCCCAGCCTCTGATTTAAACTGTCGTGTCTTATCGTGAGTTCCGATCTCCGACCTCCCTGTCGGTCGACCTTGCAAAAGGCGCCCTAAGTTGTTTAGGAAACCCAATAGAGGGTTGGCTAGATGTGGTAGTGCTGCGCCAGGAGTTGAGCATGGTCGAGTTTCAGTTTCTATGTTATCGGTGTTGCAGCTTTCTTGCAGATTTCATAGACAGGCCTGAGCGGCTAGTGCAGGGTCTGGGGGTGCAATGTTTTCAAAATTCTGTACGGTTTTGGGGCAGAAGATGCGTATTTTGCGGCCGAGAATCCGCAGGCCGCCACTGGCCGAACTTTCACAGAGACGAACTTTAGTCGAGGAATGGCCGCTGAGTCACAACATGAGGCGCACATAAACAGCATCCTGATCCCTAAACCCTAAACCCTAAGATGAGCCCCACAGGTTTTCGGGGCATGAGCTGCCTTGGACACATGCCCTGAGGTGACAAGCTGCATCTTCTCACCTTTCTATGCCATACAGACACTTGGGTCGAAGGTTCCCACAGATCCCAATACCCCTTCATTAAGGAATGTACCTTAAACTATAGAGGCCTTAACATTGTGATTTAAGGTACCCTAGACCCCAAAATGCTCCAAAAACCCCTAAGCCCTATAAACCCAAAGCCTCTATACACTAGACCCGAAACCCGAAACCCCCTATATTCCTTGATCAAGGGGTATTGGGGATCTCTGGATTTTTTGGGGTGCCACCATGGCCGGAGTTTTTCTATGGCATGCATTAGAAGCTGCCCCCACGCTGTAATAGTGACTATAATTAGGGTTATATTAGGGCCCTATAATGTTCCTATTATACCACAATTACAGGGTGGGGGCAGCTTCTAAGGCATGCAGGTCAAAGATGATTTCGCGTGTTCCCAGGTTTTTGTAGCATGGGAAGCTTCAGGAACTCACTAGCGTCGTTCTTGTGATAAAACCCGATTGACGAGCTCCTTTGTGAACTCTTAAAACAGCGCACAAGGACCGATGGAACCCGTAAGGGAACCGTTTAAAGGACCTCTACAGAGCGCTTATTGAAGGCCCAAGAACCCTGACCCAGCCTCTAAGCCCTCAGCCCGAAGTGCGGGACGTGAATGTTTAGGGTTTAGGGTTTAGGGTTTAGGGTTTAGGGTTTAGGTAGTCAAGAATCCAGAATCATGAGCAATCTTGTTTCTTGCGGCTCCTTGGTATAAGTAAGGAATAAGATACCCCAGCCGCAAAATTCTATTCCTGCTCCAACTGTTAAGGCCCCTTAAACCCTAAACCTTCAACCCTAAACCACCGAACTCGACCGACCTCAGTCCAAAAGTGATTGTTTTGTAGTTTCAGAGGGTCGGGCACAGTACATATGTATGTATATATGCATATACATACAAACATGTATACATACAAAGACACATACAAACACATGTGCAAATGCATATAGAATCTATTCTATTCCTGTCTGTTTTGTCATAACGCACTATGTCATAGTTTGCTATCACCTTGCAAAGAACACAGGAACTTAGAAGAATACAGTTCATGCTCAGTTTCTGGTGGTTTAGGGTCAGAGCTGAGGGCTTTGGGTTTGATACTATTTCCTAGGGTTTCTCATTGTATTTCATTATAACATAATATATATATATATATATATATATATAATATATATATATATATATATATATATATATAATATATATATATATATATATATATATGTATATGCACATACCGCTCAAGCCTACACCGATATTCATTAAGCCCCAAACTCCTAAGCCAAAAGCTCAACGGACCATCTACACTAAAGCTCCACAGAATCTGTTAGAGAGCCGTTAACGCTTAGAGAGCCCTTATAATAATACAGGCGCCCAAATAATTATCCATACTGTTTTGAGGTTTCCTTATTAGTATAATGTCTAGTTATTTCCAGAGCCCGACCCTGTAGCCCGATAGACATCTTGGTCCCGAAAGCCGCGGACGTTTTAGGCCCTAAGCCCTAAACCCTAAACTTTAAACCCTAGACCCTAAACCCTAAGCCCTAAACCCTAAACCCTAAACCCTACGCCCTAAACCCTAAACCCTAAACCCTAAGCCCTAAACCCTAAACTCCTAAGCCCTAAAAGGAACATCTACATGGGTAGCGCCTGCAAGAGCTTGCAGGAGCCCATTTTTTGGCCCCCGACCCAAACGGAGTTGGGTTCAGGATTCAGGGTTTGGGTTTTTGACGGTTTAGGGGTTAGCGTTTGGGTTTGTTTTTTGCCTTTTTTTGCAATTTAGGGTTGAGGGGTTGGAAAATTTTCAAACATACACAAAGGCTTCCTTACAGGTTCTACAAGGATCCCCCCCAAAAAACTATGCACAAAGGATTGCATAAAGGTTCTACAAGGAGTTCTACCAAGGCGCTCAAAAGGTTCCATCAAAGGATCTACAAGGATGTTCAAAAAAGGATACTGAAACGGGTTCCCATATGTTGTACCGCGATTCCAGAAAACTTAGGGGTACTTAGAAATAGTTTTTAGTTTTTGATTACTATAATCCCTAAGAAACAGCTAAAATTATCCTAAGTTCAGTATAGAAAACATGCTCAAAGGGTTCCATGAAGGTTCTACAGGGGTTCTACAAAGAGACGGAAAGGGTTTCTCAAAGGTTTTACAGGGGCTCCCTCTGCGTTCTATAGGTTCGCAAGCAGAGAATTCCAAAAGCAATCTGAACGGCTTCTACAAGCGTTCGGAAAAAGAGTTCTGTTAGGGTTCCTCAACCCGAAGGTTTTGAGGTTTTTGCAGTTTTTGGTCTTCAGGGCTTTAAACTGTGTGGTCTAGGGCTTACCCCTAAGCCTCATGACCTCGCAAGCCCGAAATCTTCCAAAACCTCTGGAAAACTGTTTGAAACATAGAGCCCGGGGTCCCTTGCAGGGGACCGCGAACCGCGTAAATCCAAGATCTTTGACGCACGGCCATGAACCATCGCTTACATGAGGGTTGGGGTAGTTCAGGGTTCACGCTATCTGGTCTGTAAACCCTCATAGCCGCGAAGGGCACCCCCACTTCGAAGAGAATGCCGTGTTAAAGACCTTAACTATACGACTCTTATCAAGCTCTCCGCACGTGCTAAACACAGCCTGAAATCTCTTCTAGAGTCCGTGGCCCGTGCTCTGGGATATAGGAAGTGAACTAAACTCTAAACTTTAAACAAGTCCAAACCACAAGCCCCGACAAGCCAAAAGTCCAAACTTGAAGGCGAGGACCGCCCAACAGCCTCAAGTGACGCCTATGCCCCGAAATACTAACTCTAAACCCTAAACCCTAACCCTAAACCCTAAACCGTAACATTAATTTTCAAGATTCAAGCCCCCACACCGCAAAGCCAGGAGGTTTTCGCACCTACGCAGTCCACGGATACTGCCCCCACTTGGACGGGAGCCCTTAAAGCGGCGCTGCCTGCCGCTTGGGGCAACTCATGCCTTATTCGTAGGGTTACGTTTCTTTGGACGGTTGTAATTCAGGGCTTTCAGGATTTCGGGATGTTGGTGTCTTCGCTGGGTCTTGAGGTGTTTCTCATCTCATGCGTGCCAAGCCTTGTCCCCTCCTACCAGTAACCCTAGCATCCCAAACCCCAGACCCTGGCAGCCAGATCCTCAAATAAGCCAGTCGAGAAGCTCAAGTAAGTACTAGCAGTACAGGAATGATTACTGCAGACGTCATGATGCAATTACAGAAGTGTAAGCATAAATGTAGAGAGCCGACAAACCCACACACGTGCATGGAGCGCGTATACGTTCACAACGTGTGTGCATACATACATACATACAAACATACATACCTAGACATGGGTTTGTAGTGGTTTATTTTGGTTTAAAGATAGAAACTAAAAGATATTGGTTTCGCGTTTTTTTTGGTTTTCTGTTTGTTCGTTTTTTCCGTTATTCTTTGCAAAAACATGACATATATAATATTTATGATATATATAATATATATTATACCATGTAGTCATGTATACTATACATGATTGTTGTCGTATTATCACATTTTTATATATATATATATATATATATATATAGTATATGCATGCATGACAGCTTTGCGAAAAGGAATTTGCACAGCAGAAAGAGAGAGAGGTCTCAAAGACAAACACAGCACAGACACACTCGGCCCCCCATGTTTTCTCAGTCAGCGCTCGAGCTGCTGATCACACGTGAAACAGGTGAGGCTTCCACTTGGACCACGAATATATAAGCCATCTCTGAGCCGTTCGCTTTGCAGCACCGAGTGGGTGAGCAGAACGGCTAAATCGGCTAGAGACACCCATATAGTCTTCATCCATTTGCGTTGCGAAGCAAGCAGGGTTTAAACCCCAACTGTGGCCCATCGAAAGTCTCAAGTCGTGCTCGATGTGCAGCATGTAATGATATTTCGGGGTGATGTTGAAAAACAGCATCCCCCGTCCATTGCACAACTGAGCTGCCATCGAGTAGGCAACAAAGAACCGGCCCAACAATGCCCGAGCACTTCGCATCTGCGTGGCATTCATCCAGACTCTGTCACTGACCACATAGCAGAGGCGGTGAAAGTCATCGAGAGCTGTCAGCAGGTCGAAAACATGCGAAGTGATATCATCCAGGAGCCAGGGCCTCGATAGGTACTCGATCAGCCACTTTGTGACCAAACGCCCATCGGAGCCTTTCCTTAAGTCACAAAAGAAGCTTACACTTCTGTTCGCACTTGGATTGTTTCTATCAACATAAAAACTGCCACGAAAACGTTCGAAGTCTTGAGGCCACTATATGTAAGCTCAAGGGTTACTTTGATGGAGAGCCATGGACTCCCCAAGGGCCCTTTAATAGAGTCCTTAGGGCCCTTAATGGAAATTCACCAAAGGCAAGGAACCAGGAGGTCTCGGGAAACTTCGCCCTGGTCCATCGCAGGTTGTCCTTGGTGAACGTCTTCACATCGGGCGTCTCATGCAATATGTTCTTGCAATAGAAGGCGAAGTCCTTGTATGCCTCCTTGAGGCAGGCCGGCACAGATGTACCATGTTCCGGCGCAGGCAAAAAATATCCCATCTCAACCAAGAAGCATATAACAGATGCCACACAGGTCCTCGTTATGCCCAAATGGCTGATATGGAACAAATCCTTCGACAGGAACCCATCATCTTCCCCTCCTGGCAGATCATGCAGAGGGCTCGATGACCTCCACGGCGGGTCACGGCCAATGGTTCCTCGCCAGGCTGCATTCCTCCGGTAGTCACCGAATGGCATGTCCTTGCCATCTGCTGAGCACCAGGGGCACATGCAATTTGGATCATTGGTGTAGGTCCGCCCTGAGTGTGCCAGTTTGGCCTGCGCCGGAAGATCTCCTTCCAGACGGATGAAGACAAGGTAAAACAACCCCTGGAGGGAAGGCACACCATTCAGATAGCAATCGTTTGCATCTTCCACGAAATGCTTCAAGAGGCTGTCCAAGGTGTTGTTGCCTGAACCATAGCCTTGATTGTCATCCTGCGGAAACCGGACAGCACAGCAAGCATGATATATGCACACATATATACATGACAAATATAACCGTCTATGCAAACAGGATCTGTGGCTAAATCCGTTTATGATATTTCGATAACCCCAATTGCATCCTTGTACTCATCCGCTAGCATTGCAGAGTAAAAGAAGCAATGCAGTGCACTTGCCGGCCCTGCTTTCAGAACAGGGCCCCAGCTCTGTTGATAGATACCAGCTCGCCGGAAAGAAGTCCCTTCATCTGCATGCACTCTGCATGGTATGCATCGGGAAAGGTGCTCAGCATGGGTAACATACACCTCATGTCCAGGCCAGGTGTGGCGGAAGCGAGTCCAGAATTCCAATAAGCCTGTCTCAACCTGATCCATCTGTTTGTAGTCATGTCCAAACAGAAGTATACTCGGATAATATCTCAAGATTTCTGTCGCCAATTCCTTAACTGAAACAACAGGATGAGCCTTGGCACCTTCAGGAAATTGCACCGTCTTCATTCGTACCTGTGTCCGCAGCATCAAGCCCAAGGCTTGAACATTGTTCACGAAAACAGTCTCCTTGTCAGATTTCGAGGCATGGGCCAGTCCCAGCTGCACAAGTGCTGGGCGCCAGGGATCTCCTTCCTCCATGGTTTGTGCATTGTTGTATGCAACTGCAGCAGCTTCAGCAGCGTTATGTGCCTTATTTTCCAGGCATGCAGAAGCAAAGCTGCAACACAACTTCAGAGGACACATCAGAAGAAACAAACCACCACTTTGCAATAGCACCGAGGGGCAATGTAGGTCTGCAGCACATTCTCCACCACCGTCGCACCTGCACGAGGCACTTTCAGATTTAATCTTGCACACACACAGAAGCACAAGTCAGTAAAGCAAGTATCTGCATGTATACATGTACATATGCCACATATATCAGATAAATGTTGTGTATTTATATATATATGTTTAGATATGTCGTCATGACATATCTTATCTATCGTTCACCCATGCAAACACAACCCGGTAACACAATGAGAAAGTCTATATCTGTATATTAATACACATATATATATATATATATATATAAATATATAAATATATATATATGCATTGTATATATGCATATACACCTGTTTGAGTTGATGCATCTGCAAAGCATACAAAATACATTCATTCCAATAAGCAATAAATCAACCAATCATTCAGCCGACCAATGAATATCTATACGTTTATATGTTATATATATATATACACCCACAAGTATATCATATAAACAAAATCAAGATGAACATATATTGCTCACGTCTGCAAGATTCAGTTTTGTCCATGTCATCAGCAACTGTGACACTGCTGTGAGACCCATCTGTGCAGCAGCATGTGCAGTCCCACGAGAGCAGCAAAATGGCAAGCTGGCACACATTGCATATGTTAGACGGCGTACTTATACATGCATTCTGAACCTCCCTGCTTGTGAGATCCGCACGATTCTACAAAACTTGGCCAGCTCTGGCTTTTCGCACAGAGCATCGGAAAACTACTCTGCCACCTCCTGTTTCGGTTCAGCCTTTGCCTTTGCCTTGCCCTTCGCTGCCACCTTGCGCAGGTAGGACCTTAGAACTAAAGTGCATGCCATGCATTTGAAGCTGAGCACATGTTCTTGCAGCTGAAACATACTTTTCCAACACACACCATATTTTAGACATAACACATTCACGTTTTCAAGCTCACACTGGAAGCACGACCTGGGGTCAAACATGACAATCACATCCTGAGCATTATGGGAGTGTGCAGCCCCCAATGCAGGTAATGAAATAAGCCCAGCCTAAATGCTTCTTATACTGATTTCAGAGCTGAGTTGGAACACATACGTGTCCCCCTCAGCTATCTATGTATACATATGCAGACATGTTTACATAGGGGTAGCTCAGAGACATTATGGAATTTCAAGACACAAGCAGACACCCAGAGCTAGACCTTAAGGGACCTCAATCAACATATCAAGGTTTGGATACGAGGCTTCCAGCCGAAAAAAACAGAGAGCCTCAGCCCCAGACTTACAGGCATTGGCACTGTTCGTAAAGCGGAGGAGGGCATCCCTGATCTTGTTCATGGTCTCATCGAAGTCCTTCTTGGACCTGAGACAACACACCCACAACAACATTCAGAACAAAAACATCATCATATTCCTGCCACGTGACGCATTCTTCAAATGCAGCTCCTGGTCACAGAGCTGCTGGTACAGCTGGTTGAGGCAACCTTCATTGTCACAAACCAGCAGCAGAATGAGAAAGGAGCACCTTGAGATAACAAAGCAATGATGTCTAAGGCCAGTCAAGCAGCCCATGTCATTCTCCAGGCGCTTCACATCATCCCTTGGAAAGTCTATCTCAACAGAGACATGAGGTGGAATTTCGAGGACACAAGTTTCAAAGCATATCGGGCTATTATATATATACACACAGTATATTATATGTATATATATAATATAAGTATTAAGAGATTTGTTGTAAGAATGTATTTCTACCAACAGATAGTGTGTGAACATGCATGATTGAATATCCATATATATATATATATGTAGGATGCATCACATACAACTGCATAATATATCAGTAGGCAAGGGCAGGGCATACCTTGACAATATGCATTTGCAGACTGGCGACTGATGACCAGTCACCTTCTCATCGGCCAGCTTGTCCAGCACATCCCTGTAGGTGTTCTTCTTGCCCAAGCAGGCTCGCTTGAACTTCGCGACATAATCAGTCACACTTTCCTCGCCGTCGATCTCTGGGAGGGCTCCTGGCAGAACCTTCTTCTTGCCGGCTTTTTCCTCAGCCTTTTCCTCCTCTTCATCCAACATCAGGTCGCCGACCCCCAGGCTGAGATCGAAGTTTTCCGAAAAGGTGCCTGCCAGAATATATCGAGACATGCATGGTTGTGATTCCATATAAAGCATTA